CCACCCCACGCGGGACGGGCTGTCTGTGTCCGTGGGAACCACCCCACGCAGGACGGGCTGTCTGTGCCTGGGTCTGTGGGAACCACCCCACACGGGATGGGCTGTCTGTGTCCGTGGGAACCACCCCACGCGGGACGGGCTGTCTGTGCCTGTGTCTGTGGGAACCACCCCTTGTGAGACGGGCTGTCTGTGCCTGTGGGAACCACCCCACGCGGGACGGGCTGTCTGTGCCTGTGTCTGTGAGAACCACCCCATGCGGGATGGGCCGTCTGTGTCTGTGCCCGTGAGAACCACCCCACACGGGACGGGCTGTCTGCGTCATGTCAGTGAGGCAGCAATCCCACAACGTGTGTCCTGAGTCAGCCTCTTTCAAGATATAAAAAGAGCAAATTAGGACAAGCAAGCGGCAGAGGTGGGGGAGAGCTGCCAAGTCTCATGGAGAAGGCCCAGGAGCAGAAGCTGCAGGGACAAGGAGCTTCCTCCTGAGCCGACAGGCAGCAAGCCACACCCTGGAGCCGGCACCCTGACCAGATGATCAGCCACCACCAGGCGGCATTTCTGCTCCAGCACGTGTAACCAAACTCCCAAACCTGAAGCATTTGGTGTCACTAAACTGGCAGACCCGGGTCCGATCTAACTTCATAAACTGGCTCATCCAGGTCCAAATCTGACTCCACTGTTTTTCAGACCCAGGTCTGGATCAGACTCTAGTTTTTCTCCAGCCTTACTAACTCCATTGCTTCGGTCCAGCCTTACCAAACTGGTGGACCCGGGTCCAGATCAGACTCCACTGTCTGTCTCTAGCTCCACTTCTGTTTCATGTGCTGCTGGACTCCTGCCCTTAGCAAATAAGGGACTGTGGCTAAGACTGCAATCGATCACTCCCGGAAGTCAGCTGTCCACTCCCTTGCACAACTGGTTCTCGGAAGGATAGCTTACACCAGGCCCCGTGCTGGCCCCGAGGTGTCTGCAGATTAGAAAAACAAGCTCTGGTGCGATGCTTATGGTCTTTCAATAGAACTGTGTGGGGTCTCAGGGTCACCTTGTGACCAGCTACACAAAGGCCTGCCAATCAGAACCAGCCTGTTAGTGGCAGACATCTGGGCATCGACACTGCCCTCTGCTTCCAACTCCTTGGAGCACCGTGCCTCCACTCAGGTGCTGCCCGGTCCCACGCGCCTGGCTATTCCCCAATAAAGCACTCTGCTTTTACTCCTGACAGAGTGTTAAGTTTGCATCTATGATATATTTGGCATCAGAAGCAGGACTTTGAAGGTGTGGTCCCTTCAACGACCCTGAGATGTCAAGGACTTGGGCTTTGGTACCAGCCGAGCTGTGGGGGCTCCATCTCCTTGAACTCTTGGCCGTCATCACAAGGTAAATGAGCTCTCGAATCCACGCTCAGCACCTTTCTGTAGGAGCTCACCAAGCTTTATTGCTGGGTTTGTTTCTGTTCTTGCAATCAAGGTTTACTAACTCTCTCTAGGGGACAACAAGCTCTCAGTCCCCATGACCACTCTGGAGTTCTGGTTTACCTAAATTAGTTTCTCTGCACAGTAAACTTGACACTGAAGGCTCCCGGATAAAGTTTCAGTGGGACACCTATTTTGACTGGCATCTACATGCTTCTAAGAGACATCAAGATAGCAAAATTGCCTCCTTGCAGGATACTGCCTCTAAGTTAACTAAACCAAACAAAAAGCTGCATTGTCATATTTCTGTTCCACCTATTCCTGCTGCTTCAATGTCACAATGCCACCTGCCCCCGTACTTAAAATAAAAGACTAAGTTTCTAGCCAGCAGAATCAAGTAGGCTCAGAAGCAATGAAATCAAGTTTTGTATGGTTGTTATGAAGGAATCCCAGGTCTCTTATCGCAAAAATATGTGGGTGTGGGTCCGAGCACATTGAAAGCCTTTCGGGTGCTCACCATCAACAGACAGATATCGTCAAAGAGTAAGTTGGGACATGAGATGGGTCAGAGCACCAGGCTGCCTGCCAGCACTAAGGCAACTCACGCAAGAGAGGCACCCCGGGAAACCACACTGACCAGGCCCCACCACAGACTCCCTGCTGGGAATTTCCAATCTGGGAAACCAAACTTTCAACCTATGCCTAACAGCCTTAATAAAGGAATTTAGATTTACCCCAACAGGGATGCTGGTTTGGATTCAAAAAACAGTAAAATCTGAACAATCTGAATGTGGTAGTTCAGGCTGTATGTCAACTTGGCTGGGCCTGGTTGAGTAGCTGGGCAGCCATGGAATGTGGTTATTTCCCATGGTGAGATTGGTAATTAACCCCATGGTGGAATCCACTGGAGCAGCTGAGTAGCTGCTTTTGGGATGTGGTCTGCCTCCAGTGTATAAGAAGCAACTTTGAGGACGGTCTCCAGCTCTTTGGCACGTTTTAACCCTGCATGTAGCCAAGTCGTTGTTCAGCAGACTGCCAAGCCCTGCCGATCTTGGGACTTCTTTTGGACTTGAATTAGTGGCCTGCCATGTTGTTTGGAGGAGCTCTGGTAGCATAGTGCCTAAGGCACTTGACTGCTAACCAGAAGGCTGGCGGTTCAAACCCACCAGCCACTCCTCGGAAGGAAGGTTGGGCATTCCTACTTCCGTAGTGATACTGCCTCGGAAACCCAAGGAAGGGTCGCTATGAGTCGGGGCCGACTCGATGGCAAATAACAACAACAACAACAACATGCTGTTTGGTAACATTGGGACTGTGCCTTTTTACTTGTCAACCTTGAATTTTTCAACCTCAGCAGCCAGCAGGTTACTGAGTGAAGAAAATCTCCAGCTTCAGTGGGCTGGGAGCAGGAGGCAGAGCTGAAGCTCAAGGTTGAGGGGCTTTCACCCAGCCCCTAGAGCCTGGCACTTTGAACTCAGACTTAAAGCCTCCAAACTGCAAGAGAACAAACTTTGTCAAAGCCACCCCATTTGTGGTATATTCCTATCAGAGCAGCACTATGTAACTAAAACCCTGAAGTAAGTTGGAATTTCAATGATCATTTGAGAAAATGAGTCCCTATTTATGCTGTCTTTTCCTTCCTCTGGGTAACTTTTTTTTTTGATGCTCAGGCTTTTCAAAGGGTCTGATATACCTCCATCTGAGAGTCTGGCAAATTAGTAAGTTTAGTTTTCCTGTTAAATTGAGTCTATTTCATCCCAGAATTGCAGTGTGCCATATGTGTATCAAACCCACCAGCCACTCCTCAGAAGGAAGATGGGACAATCTACTTCCGTAGTGATACTGCCTCAGAAACTCAAGGAGGGGTCACTATGAGTCGGGTCCGACTCGATGGCACATAACAACAGCAACAAATGTGTGTTTTCGGAGACTGGGCTCCCCATGCCTGTCTTGTGTGGCGTTGTTTAGGCCTGGGTTCTGAGCCGGCCTCACAGACCGGTGACTTTACGTGGCTTTTCTGTTCTGTTTTGTTCTGAGAGCTTGTCTCTGCTCTAGAGCATCAGGTCTGAGCTCTAGCCAGCTGAAGCCCACAGCTGGTGTTTTCCAGGAGGCTACCTGAAATCTCAGTTCTTTTCTCTTTCAAGAAAAACTGTTTCTTGTGTCTGTTCTATGATTTGGAATTTTAGTACTTACTCTGAGAAACTCTAAGGTAAATCAGTCTAATCGCTTCCCTAAAAGATCCTATAATGCATGCAAGAGATGGGGTTATGAAAAACAAACACCTTCCTACTTCCAGACAGTATTATGAAAACCAGATTATAATATTCTTCCAAAAAGCTTAACTCTGGTTGGTTTAATAAGTCAGCTCTTATATAAATTTAATAGTCTCAATATTTCCAGTAATTAATGAAAGTGAATTTGCTCTGACAGAGATTTTTATGTTCTAAATTACATCAATCTTAAAAGCAAAGCCTTTCTAAGTAACATAAGTTAGATTTTATATGTAATATGCTTTATTTAAGGAAAAGGGGTAATTTGCTTGAAAGTAAAACAAGTAGTTCCATGATGGGAAAGGAGAGCCGCAGGAAAGCAAAAGGGGAGGAAAACGTGGGTAGCCAAGAATTGATGGGTCCATTTACAAAACAGCTAAAGAGCTTAGGAAGGAGCTCCGGTGGTACAGTGCCTAAAGCATCTGACTGCTACCCAGAAGGTTGGAGGTTCAAACTCACCAGCCACTCTGTGGAAGCAAGAGGGGCAATCTACCGTAAATATTTATCATCTCAGAAACCCAATGAGATCACTGTGATAGTTAGAGCTGTGTCCATCTCAGAAACCCAGTGAGGGTCACTGTGATAGTTGGAGCTGTGTGTCGACATGCCTGGACCACAATTCTGTGTAGTTTATGCAATTGTGATGTGGGTTATTCCCATGATGGGATCGGATATATATGTTTTGAGCAGCCAATCCATT